ACACAAAGACTTCCCTCCCCACGGCTGGCCGGCGTCGCGCAGGGGTGGGACGCGGGGCTGCCGGCGGCAGGGGATGGCCGTGCCGAGAGCAGGCACCTCGCGTCGTGCGTGGCACTAGCTGGAAGCCTCAAAAGAAATACGAGCACAAGACAGGAAGGGCTAGCCACGTGGGGAGGCCACGGCATCCCAGTCCGTCTACTGGCTCCCCTCGGGGTCCGACATGTGGTTTTTCACCTGCAAGGAGAAGCACACAAGGGCGGCCGTCCTCTGATGTGCCTGGGCAGCAGGATCAGACCCAGCACCCTGCCCGGCACGGGGAACCCCGGGGTCCCGCACCCAGCTGGGGGATGCGGGTGCAGGAGCAGCAGCTTTGATAAAAGGTATTTCTACTCCGAGGGGGGTTTTTTCGCAGCCTGTGCTGCTGGAGTAATGCATGCCCAGAGGTTTGCTGCAGAGTGCTCGGGGCTGTCCCGGAGGCGCAGGCGGTTGTAGCCCTGGCACGCAGCCGGGATGGCCCGGCGGACCCCGATGGAGCATCTCCTCTGCTCCAGGCATTCCCACCAGGACCCACGCGGGCAACAAGTGGGGATGAATTCTAGGAAAGCAGAGAGCCCAGCGCGGGATCTGGCCCTCCTCTTACCATCTCCTCCGTGTCTGTGCTCTCCTCAGCGCTGTCGATGTTGCGCAGGTCGCTGTGCCCGTCAGCTCCCATCCCCTCCTTCCCCCGGGGCTCCCGTGACCCCTCTCCTGCTGGGGACGGCGACTCTGCCCCCGTCTCTACCCTCTTCTTCTCGCTTTCCTTGGACCCTGCAAGGACGGCGACAGCAGAAATTTGGGGTACCTGTGCAAACATAAGCCCCGTCCTCGCAGGGTCACCTTGCGGCAAAGGGCCGGACTCTGCCCTGCCAGCCCGGGGAAGGGGGAGGACGCGGGGAATTTGCCCAGCCGGCTCCGAATGCCCAGTTCTGTCCTGGGCACGCAGGGAGGGACCCCTTACACCCGGCTCGGGGTCCAGGCTCACGTGCGCCCACGGGCTGCCCGGCACGGACACACAGGCGTCGGAGGGTCTCTGGCCCATCCACTCACCCGTGAGACGCTCCCTCCGCTGATCCATGCGGTCCAGGCTCTCCAGCAGACTGTCCACCTGCGCCTTGATCTGGCTCAGCTCCCCCTTGATGGAATGCAGCTCTTCGGCCCGCACTGCGGGGAGAGGAGCCGTTAGGATCCCACCCTGCCCTCCAGCCTGCTCGGAGCCAGGGGAAGACGCCATCCTGGGCAGCCACCTCCGGAGCATCCTCCTCTCGGGAGCATCCTCCCCACCGGGCATCCTCGGGGAACGGGGACGGGTCCAGGGGACAGCCACCAGCCCAGCGCAGTCCAGGCTGCGTCTGCTGGAGCTGGGGGCTCCTAGCTCAAGGGGC